GATGGGATTTTTGCTCCAGGAAAGCCCCATTCCTTCGCCGGGGTTTGCTCCGGATTGGAGAGGGAAAGGGAGAGCTGTGCAGAACGCCTGGATTTTTGCAAAATGAAAGGAGGGCGAGTGGTTGCCTCCATCCCAGCAAGGGAAAGCTGCTAGCGCGGATAGCGCGGTTGGGTTTCCGCACGGATCCAAGGACTCCGGGCAGGATCCGAGCAGGAACGCGCCAGGGCATTTGCGGCAGAGCCCCAGCGGTTCCCATGAAGATCTCGCACTTCCATCACTCCCTGCTTTCCCTCCCGAGGGAAGGGCTCTGCCGAAAGCGGAAGCGTAAAGATACTGAAAACCCCCAAACCCGGGATCTTACGAGGTAACATGGCCTGCAGGGAGGTTTCCTCCTGCTCTAGCTGGGCTTCAGCTCGGGCCTGAAGCAGAAGGACCAAGAGCCCTTCCACAACCCTCCTTCATGTTCATATATGTATTCTTAACTCGCAATTCCTATTTGCGAAATCCAGCTCTTTTCCAAGTCCTATCCGAGCATTTCTTGAGGGACAGGAGCCTCCGGGAGGCTCCGGGTTCCGAGCGAGCTCGAGGCATCGCCGCAAGATGGACCCGGAGGGGCGACGATGCCGCGGCCGAGCCGTGACGCTGCTCCCGCTCCGCGATCCCACGACTGGCAACTGCCCTGGATCTCGCTGGGAAGGGCAGCCCCACTAACAGAAACCACGTGGATGCGGAGCAGGAGCTCACTCCGAGCGTGCCTGATGGATGCTCCAAGCTGCTTCCAGCCTCTGGTAACTCTTTGGAAGCGCTCTGGACTGGGAGTGATGCTTGGAAAAGCGGAGCTCCCGATGAGCCGAAAGCGGCTCCTGAAGGGGCGAGGGGCTTATGAACACCCCGGGCTCCGAGGCCGGCTCGCTTCCCTGCTGGACAGTGCGCCGGTCCATGTTGGGATAACGGCATTTTTGGAGCCTTCTTGGAAAAATAACAAATAAAGGGGGAAGGGGGACTGCGAGCGCCAACGCTCCGCCCCAGACAGCCCCGGCTTGGCCAGTGTCCTCCTCATCCGTGGCAATTCCCAACATCCCGGACGGCTGATCTCCAATAGGGACGATGCTAGGGAAAGGACTCCCCAACGCATCTAGCGAGCGGATCCCGCTGGGAAAGCAGAGCCCATTGTGGAAAAAGGGAGCGGGTTGGACTCCTGCTCTCCCACAGGACCGGCCGGGATGCGCAGGGAATGGAGCCCTTATTCCCACCCTCCCTGTGCATCCGCCGTGCGAGCGCTCCGTTGTTATCCCGTATCTCAGCCCGGCAGCAGCGGCTCCACACGGGCTATCGGGCCCGCTCCCGTGTCAGCCCCGCTGGCCTGTTTGCTTAGGAGGGATTAGGCTGCCTTATTCCCGCTGCCATCGCGCCCGGCTTTCAAAAAGAAGGAATCTCTCCCGTCGGGGCCGCGCGTCATGCATATTTATACGCCCCAATCTCCCCGGCAGAGATCTGTTGCTGGATTATTCCGTTTAATAACACCGCTGGGACGACTAAAAGCCTCGTACGACTGCTAAGCTCGGCCGATGGGAGGGCAACGGCGTGAAAATACCCGAGGCCGCGAGCCCCCGAGGTGGCCAAATTAAGGGCTTGCAAGGGGCAAGGCGCTCTCCTCTGGCTTCCTCCACCTCCTACCTCTGCACGTGGAGCGGAGGGTGCAGCGGGTGCCACCTCGGCACCAGGGCCAC